ATTTGAGCTTTCCTGGGTTACTTTTCTCTCATTGCTGAGTTAAAATATTCAACATCCAAAATGAAGGACGAAAAATTTTATTTAGCTCACTGTTTGTGGAGGTTTCAGTCCATAATCAGCTGGCTCCAAGGCATAGTGGCGTGGCACTGGGGCAACACTTCAAGGCGCAGCCTGTAAAAGCACCCAGAACAAAAGTAGGGAGAAAACAAGCCTCTTCTCCTCCCTTATATTGTAATCAGGCTACCCCCACACAAGGTGGGTGTACCACCCATACTACCTCTGTTCCCTCCTCTTGCACAGGTTGAGGATGTTTACAAAGAAAGGACTCTGTCTCCCTGCTGAGTCCCTTAGTTAAACTCAAATTGACACAATATATCAACCATAACAGAACTCAACATTTTTTTTTCTATTTCCCTTTTTCTTTTGCATTTTGGGCCATTTGTTCATAATTTAATTTGGTTTATAGATTTAAAAGGTATGCTTCCACCTGGATTTACAGTTGTTAAAAATGATATCAAGATTGGTTTTCTCATAGGTTATCAGAAATATTTTAAGGTAACTAAAATAGAGACCTTTTGGACTTAGGAAATCATTGCTCAGGGCTCTCTTTGGTGAATAAAGGAACAGCTGCTTAGAAAAATTATCCCAGTCTTTGTTCACTAATAGGAAGCTCCAATGAACTCCATAGCCTTGTGGGAGGCACCCCAATAAATGTTATTAAAAATATATTATTGTGACACGTTTACATTGGTCATAATCAAAAGATTACATTTTCTAAAAATGAGACAATAAGGTTTTCTAACTGATAAATGCTTTGGTACAAAATTAAATTAAAATACAAAAGTTTTCATATGGCTATAATGATTGATGTTAATCTTGTACCATAGTAAATGTATTTATGACTTCAGATATACAGGTCTTCCAAAAAGTAAAACAGGAATTGTCTATGGTGATACACTTCTCTTGCAGGTATCTGCTTTCAACAAAAACTTATGTGATGTATATGCTATATATGTACCACTATACTTAGAGATTCCCAGACATTAAACAGTTGAGATAGTGTCACAAAATTTCTCCAGTGACATCCCAATAAAGGTCAATGAGTTAGGTAACAGCTTCTTATGTATTAGATAGAGATTATTGATTAAAAGAGCTATACTATACCAAAATGGAAATTTATGTCATAAAAATATCATTATGATCATCATGCTATAATATTATGTATGGTTTTGATTTTACATTTTCTGTGTAAAATTGTTACTTGTTAGCATTCTATAGAGATTCAACTATTAGAACATCTATGGTTAGAAAAGAGCAGTTCTATTTTATGTTCCAGGGTGCTTGATATTCAAATTTTTTTTGGGGGGGGTAGGTACTGGGGATTGAATTCACAACCTTGTGCTTTCCAGGCAGCACTTATGCTGCTGAGCTAAATCCCTGGCCATGGGTGCTTGATACTCAGATAAAATAGTAATATTAAACTTATTTCCCCTATTATAAAATGTTATGTCATTAACCTCCTCTTCTGGATGTTCAACAACTGAGGTATGGAGACAAAAACCTAAAAACATAGATGGGCTAAGAGGACAGTCGATAGTTTGGCCCCAGCCCTCAGAGGTCAACGAAGATCCAAGACACAGGGAACCTTTATAGCAATATCCTGCAACTCTGACCAGGAGTCATACAAAGTCCCCATCAGGGAGATGGTAGGACCACAGAGGACACAGAGCTAGGGTACATAGTGTACCTAAGGAGAGTCACTTGGGGTAAAGAGTTTCTCAAGCTTTCACAGAAAGCAACTTGGTCAAGCATTAACTGTCACTCATCTAGATGGCTGACACTGACTGAAGAACTAGAGGTGCTATCTATACATGGGATATGGATACGATCTGGCTGTGACATCTGTCACCCCAATTGATTGCCAGGGTTGATTTGGCTGATCGAGTTGGCTAGGCAGGTGTCCCCTTCCTCCCTCAGTGGTCCACATGTTCCTTCCAAAGCTGCGTGCTCAGTTGAGGAGGATGACTACCCCTGATAGAGGAGGACTGTTCCTAGATCAAGGCTATACAAGTAGCTGTGCTCCCCTGCTAGAACCTCCAAACAAACTCTCAAGGTGATATACATGGTTCCAAAGTAAATCCCAAGGAGATTTAACTGACCTTGATAAATAACAAGAATTGATAATACAAGACTCACCTTAATTTGATCTTGAACACTAGCAGAAAAGAATAACTACAAGAGACATAAGACAATTGCCAACTATACTATTAATTGATCACTGTTCTGGGATAATGCTCTGTATAGGATTGTTATATGCAGGAACTTAAAATCTTTGGATTGGGAATCTTTAGGCTAAACTGAGCAAATTCATCTAGAATGAAAAGGGTTCAAAAATAAAAGGGTCTTCTATAGAATCCTCCAAACACAACTCTTCTAACTCCAACTGATCATGCATTGCTTGTAACTACAAAACAGAAAAGGGGGAAGTTATGGGGAGTGGCTGAAGCTTGAGATCAAACATGCAGGGTTGGAGCAAGGCTAGCCTTAAAAAAACAAAGTGCCTGAGGCAAGTCATGAATGAGCTGCTCCAGTCTTAAGAACACAGGGTGTCTGAGGCAAGCCAGGTGGATAAACTATTAGGTGATAGGCCTTCATGTGACACTGAACCTGCCAAGTGTACAAATAAATGTATTGCAATGATTGGCGCCCTCCTTTTCTTCCTTCTCATCTTCCTTCTTCTTTTCCTTCTCCTCTTCTTCCTCCTCCTCCTTTTCTCTACTTCTCACATCAGGAGAGAATGCTCCATCTGGTTTAGTTTTCTATATTTTGACTTTTGTTGTTTTTTCCATCCTCTCACTATTCTTACCCTGGGAACTACAAGAAGCTGCATAGGACACAGAACTGTGAGAAATTAGGTTCTGTGGGGCTGGGGATTTAGCTCAGAGGCATAAGCACCTGCCTTGCAAGTAGGCGGTCGTGAGTTCAATCCCTGGTACCGATAAAAAGTTAAAGTTAAAAGAAATTAGGTTCTGTTATAAAAGCCTCCCAGTCTACAGTAGTTTGTTTAAGCCGTTTGAATGGATTAAGCCATTGGTGGTAAACCCATAGGTGCTACAGTGGGCATGTAAAGCCCTCTCTGTCTGCATGTGAACCAAATTGCCCAAGGAGCCAAGTATCAGATAACAGTTACTTTTTCTAAATTAAAACCTTAGTATTCAGGTTTAATTGCAGTGTTGGCACTTTGCAATAAGTGAGTTTTGGGTTGCAGTCCTGACATTCTGTCTCTAAAAGTTTTGCCGTCCCTGTTGTAGGATGAAGAATAAACCTGCAGTTAGTAAAGGAATGAAACAGATCAGTACTGCAGACAGAACTCAAACAAGAACAAGACATGTAGATTTTCTGCATTTCTGAGCAGTCACCAAATGAGTTGCCCATTTCTGAGAACGTCTAACCTCATTCAGTACCATCCTACTGGCCAGGGACCAGGACTAGAAAGGACATGCCTAGTCATTGGCCCAGGAGCTGGGTCTGCCCCTGACAGCAGAGGGCAGACCTCTGCGCTTTCCCTAGGGAGTCTAGTATTTGCACAGCATTGTCACAGTTTCTGGGAAGTCAGTATTTGCACAGCATTGTCTTCTTTTTCTAGGAAACTGCCTCATGGAAACAGGGAGAATGCGCAGTCTGCTAAGCTTCAAGATCTCTTGTTAGGGCTGTCTAAAGGCCAGAAAGATGGAACCATGAGGGACAGGTTTGTGAGGTTACAGCATCTGGACGTCTCTGAGCAATCAGGTTCTGAGCTAGAGTTAACAATTTGGATACCAACATCACATTTCTGTGTCCAGGTCCTAGCTCCACCACTTCCTGATGCCTAATTATGAGCAAATTATTTATCTCTTTGTATCTCATTTTTCCCCTTTTGAAAATGTAATCATTGAGTACCCATCTTGCAGGGTCACAGTGAACCTTCCAGAAGATGACTTGTAAATTGGCTTGTAGGGATCATTTAATACCTGCTCATTTTTCTTTTTGTACTGGAAATTGAGCCTAAGGCCTTTATACTGAGCTACATCCCAGACCTTTTAAAAAACTATTCTTGTTATTTTGAGACAGGGTCTTGTTAAGTCTTTAAGTTGTCCAGGCTGAGCTCAGACTTGTAAATCTGTGTCAGTTTCCCAGTGCCAGAATTATAGGCAAGAACCACCACACATTGCTGCATGCTCTCTGTTCTCATTCCGCATACAAGTCTTGTGACATGCAGGTAGGTGAAAACATCTGTCTGTGCTTTCTGCTCTTTCCTTATAGAAGACTCCAAAATTCTAATTTTAAGATCAGAAGAATCTCTAAAACATCTTGGAGTTGTAGGCATGGAGATAAGATTTCTATTGGTGCCTAGAGTTGGTGGTTCCCCGAAGAGCTTGTTCGGTGACTGAGCTTGGTGTGCATGTGTAGTTCCTACTGCACCGAGCAAGTGTAGTTATTGGAACTGAGCTCCCAATGGACTAGGGTTAGCAACCAGGCACAGATGGGTGGGCCTAAACTATTGTCTGCCCCAGGCCGATGCCCTAGTTTGCTAGTGAGGGAGCTGGGATGCCCCAGCACTTTCTGCTCTGCTGTTGGTAGTGCAAGTCCAGTTCCCCTTCCTACAAGATTAAGGAGAATGGGAAGAAAGAATGGAGATGTCGGTACTTGGTGCTTTGGTGGTTTTTCTGTTTCTTGCGCACCTTTTCTGTGTCAGGGACCTGAGCTGGGACCTAAACTTCCGTGCTGGACTGGATCCGTTCTAACAGGGAGCGGTCCCGACTGTCCCCCTGAGATACGCCCTGGGCCCAGAGGCTGGTCAGTGAGAAGTCAGAAGCAGAAAAAGAGGGGAGGGGGAGTGAGGACCTGGCGGCAGTGGAAACAGCAGATTGCGCCGAGCCAATGGCAGCAACAGTACGAGGTGGCACCAAATTCCCGCTGGCCAATGACTAGCCAGATTTGAAGAAGCCTAATTAGCATTTCCCTCGGGGTTAGGAGTGGGGGAGCGCGGTGTAGGCAAGTACAGTATCCCAGTACTGAAGTAGTGTATTAAAAAGCGTTAGATCTCCTCTTTACGGCACTCGTTTCCACGCGTTGCTTAATCAACAGAACGCACTTAGGAAGATACAGGTTACAATTGCGTCACAGTCAGCTGGAGCTTTAAAAACCCAGCGTGAGACATCCACGGACGGCAGTTTCGACCCGGACTTCTGTGGCGCGTGGAAGGTGCAGGAAGGGTTCGGGACGCGGCGCGCGGGATCTTCGTTCACGGCGCGGCCCATCCTCACCGCTTGTAGTCTGAATCCGCTCTGCGGCCTCCATCCAGGGAACTGAGTCCCCGCCTCTGAGAGCCAAGATGCCGGCTCACATGCTGCAGGAGGTGAGTGTCCTGGGAACTGCCGGTGTCTGTGCGCTAGCAGACACTTATTGGCTTCTAGGCGACTGCTTGCTAGAGAGAGCTGAGAGCTTAAGGAGATGTGGTCATGTTTCTCGATTTGCTCTGTTTTCTAATACTCGATTAGTAACATGGGTGTTTGATTTTCCAAGTTTTGTTCCTTAAACACTCTTAAATTAGTAAAGAAAAATGCAGTCGTGCCGGTGGCTGTAAGTATACAGGCAACGTTTCCTTTGTGTACTGTCAGAAGTGCAACTGTTTTCATCTCTCTTTCTGCGCTTCACCCTGTCATCTGGCTCCTAATCAATCTGCAGGTTTTGGAAACCTCCCTCAATTTCAGATCGTGGTCACTCCATCCTCACATGACCTGGGTGCCTGTGTTGCCCCTTTCACCAGCTGCGGTCCTGAGCAAAGGGCCCTGCGCTCCCTCTGACTCCTCTCTTCCCTCTCCTTGCAGGTCTCAGGCTCCTACACGACCACCACCACCATCACAGCACCTCCCTCTGGCGGTCTGCAGAATGGAGGCGAGAAGGTGGAGAAAATGTCCCTCTATTCAGGGGAAGACATCCGCCCTGAATTGAAAGATGACATTCGAGACCCCAACTACGAGGACGAGGAGGGTCCTATACCCAAGCTGGAGTATGTCTGGAGAAACATCATCCTGATGGGTCTGCTGCACGTGGGAGCCTTGTATGGGATAGCATTGGTTCCCTCCTGCAAGTTTTATACCTGGCTGTGGGGTAAGCAAGTTCTCTGTGTCTGGCTGTATTCCAGGGTGCTTCTGGCTGTTAATCGATGGGGTGTTACACACAGCAGTGGCCACTCTCTGTCGATGATTCCTATCCTGAGTCGTGTCTGTGGTGGCTCAGGAGGCTGACAGTGCTGGGAAAAGAGCCCACTGGGGTTGGGATGCAGGAGTGTTGTTTCTGGTAGTTTCTTAAGATGAGTGTTGGGAAGTGACCCCTGAGCCCATGTGCAGGAGCTTTGAGGGAAAGAACAGGGATAGAGAGGCATTTTCCCCTGGATGAGCTTTATACTGTTGAGTCATTAGCCTGGCTGCCTGATCCAGACCAGCGTGCCACAAGAGAATCAAAACTGTGGGAGGCATGGGCTCCTGAAACTAAACCAGGGGCTTTATGTGCTATGTGGTAAGTCTAGTCATGAGACAGTAAGGAAAACCTGCTCAGGACTGGAAATCATTGAAAAGGAAGTAATACAAAGGGACTTACCCACGAAAATAAACCAGGCTGGTTTGACACGGAAGGACACAAGGACAGCTACAGTATAACCTAATTGCATAGTTGTTTTGCTCTAGGTATGTCTCCAGAGTGTGACACATGGCAGTCAATCTAGTGTTCTCAGAATCTAATTGAAGAAATGTTGTATGGTCAATTCTCTACCCAGCTACTCCAGCTCTTCCTTTCTGGGCTCTGGCATCCTAACATCCCAGGACCTTCTAATACCAGTCCACCCTATATTTATCCATCCCTCCATAGAGGGGACAGCCAGGCCAGAGCAAAGAACCTGATGCTGCTGTAGCCTTCAGGCTGCTTTAGTGAAGGAGACTCTTGTCACTTTTCTCTGACATGTCCTTAGTTAAAGTCTTTCTGGGATCTGGGATCTTTCTTTGTTCTGAGAGCAAAGCCTGTGTCCTGGATCCACACATGTGCTTTTCATATGCTGCCCAGTGATGTGAGAAACAGGGACCTCATAGAATAGGTGTGCTATTTCTGCTTTCTCTGGGGTGGGGAGTCAGGACTCTTTTTCTAGAAGACAACCAAAGGTTTTCTGGAACAGTCTTAGGTGTGGGTATTCCTGGCACCTATGTTGGAGGGGGTTGGTATAGAAGGGCTGGTTGGCCAGTAATTAACTGCTCCTCCTAGGTCTCTTGGGTCTAAAAGGTGATAAGATCTGTCCTCAAGTATGGTTCTGGAAATTATCCAGGAGTTACAGGGAAATACAACTGAAAGATCAGGAACACAGTTTTTCCTGGTAATGAGTGAGAACAAGCGTGGATTAGTTAGTTCCTTAAGTTACTTGTTTGTAAGAGCCTTCAGGAACCCTAGAGGAGTTGAAGAAGTATATGCAACACTGAAGGCCAAAGGGCAAACTACCTTCAGTTTACTTCTTAGGGCAAAGTTATGGGGTGCTGCTTAACCATTGACATGGGATTAACAGTGCTTCTGAGGGACAGTGAGACCAACCTCCTATTTGACAAACTCCAAGGGGTGAACAGAATGCTGGAATACCTGTGGTTTTACCCTAATTATCCTCTACATGTGAATATATTTTGTGAGCCAACAAGCTAGGATAATTGGTGGCATGAAATAAACTAGTTTTTTCCTTGACCCACTGCTGAATGCTTTTGCTTAAAGTCTATCCCTTCTTCCTGGTCATTTCAGGGTTCTGGCTCCACTGGGTTTTTACAGGTAGAGGTGTGGTCATACACTGTATCAGGGAAGGTCTCAATTACCAAAAGACTAAAGGCTACTTGAGGATATTTGCCAGAACTTTGCACAAACAGATGCTGCCTCTGTGGCTCTCCTGGGGATCTTGTAGGAGAAACAAGATAGAGTGCAGGAGGGAAGAGAAGAGGGTGCTGTTTAGTGAAGTGTTATCTTTGGCTACAGAAAAACAGATCATAGTTTGTTAAAATGTGTAGTGTCTCCAGACACAACTAAGATCTGAGAATCTATAGTTCCCAGCTGCCTGCTAGGAATGACACATTATTAACAGTTCCTAAGAAGGCCTCAGTTCTTGCTTCCTAGCGCTGCTAATCGAGGAAGCAATAGGTTACACTCAGCGTCCCTTTCTCCACTAACAATCATATGGGCCTGCAGGCCTAGAGGGTGGTGAGGTGGGATGTTTCAATTCTGCCAGCTCTGAGTATTTCCCAACATTATCTGGAATTAGCACTGATGGCCAGAATCTGGGCTGACAGAGCAATGTCTCAGTGGAGAGATCTGGAAACTGGACACTGGTCATGTGAGGTAGATGGCAAAACTGGAACAAGAACTTGGTGACTAAAAGCCAGGCCTGCAGTTTTACTAGCTGTGTGAGTTTGGAGAAACATTTAATGGTTCTCAGCATACATTTTTGTCAGCTGTAGTGTGTGATACACTAGTACCTGGTCTAATCAAGTTGTGCAGTGAGTGAGAATATACTTACATTATTGTTAAAGCTTGAGCCATTGTGTGCATGACTCATGTTTCCTAATTTGGCTACACTCCCTGACATAATATCATTAAAAAAATTTTTTTTGGAACTGGGAATCAAACTCAGGACCTTGCACTTGCAAGGCAAGTGTTGTACCACTGAGTTATGTCCCTGGCCCCGATACAATATTAAAATGCTTTCTTGCCAGCTGGTAAATAACAATAGATCTGTATCTGGAAGTGTCCCTTACAATTTAGGGCTCCTCTAATTGGTCAGTGCCTAAATTGCTCTGACTGCTATTTTCAAGAACATCTTTGCTTAAGGGTCCTAATGTCTCTCAGAGTAACTTGTGGCACTGAACACTTTCGAGGTCAGCTGAAGGTCTTTGGAAATCGACATGAGATAAAACCCCTACAGACTGGGGCAAAAATGCACAGTGGTGAGACCTCATTCACTCTCCTGCCTGCTTGACTCCTTGGTTCAAGTAGTAAAAGTTATGAGACCTCAGAAACAAACTCCATGTTAGTGTTCAGGGAAAGTCAATGCTCACTAAATGTTTTCTAGAGAAGACACAGACTAACATCAGGAGTGTATCCTTGACATGCTTCCCTTGATTGAACTTGCATGTTTGTGACCTCACCCTTCTCTGTCTTGTCCTGACAGCATTCGGGTACTATATAGTAAGTGGACTGGGCATCACAGCAGGAGCTCATCGCCTGTGGAGCCACCGAACTTATAAAGCAAGGCTGCCCCTGAAGATCTTCTTGGTCATTGCCAACACGATGGCATTCCAGGTAAGAAGCTGGCAATGCTTGACTTTCCTGTCTTAACCCTATTGATGATCCTGGGAGGAATGGAGGGGACCCACATCCAGAAAGTAGCCCTAATCAGGAAGGTCATTGCCTTTTCCATTGTCCTGTGGTCACATAAGTACTGGGTCTATGTTGAGGCCCACCAAATAGGGAGTACTTTAGGTTTACTAGGATAGCACATAGGTAAGTGGGACAGAGTCTTCTGGGGTGGGGTCATTTTTTATTCCAAGGCCCCTATGTTATTTTACACTGTGACTATTGTGATTTTTCACCATGAGGGACCATGGTGCTAAGCTAGGTATTAACCTAGTTTCCTGGGCAGTCAGCGGCATTAAACTTATACTTTATGGTGGCTCTCTTAGGCTGTGTGGCAACAGGATAAAAGACTGATGGCCACGGCTGTCAGATGAAAAAGCAAATACTTCCATAGCACTGACTATGTGCTGGGCCCAGTGCTAAACATTTGACATAGATGAATTCATTAAGTCCTATTTTTACAGATGAGAAAACTGGGTCTCTGAGAGGTAGGATAAAAAACTTTGTGATCCTGTCTGGGACCGCCACGCTTGCTAACTCAGGTGCCAAGGCTGGACCACACATGTATGGGACAGAATGAGGAGAAATGGGAAGGTGACTCTCCTAGCAATTAGACTTTAGCAATGGGCACAGGAGAGCTTGTGCTGTGGGTCTTAGCTTGAGCAAGAAAAAACAGGAAACAAAATAAATTTCCTCATCTACAATATCTGAGGTACTTCTTCCTTTGCATAATCAACTTTGCTCTAGTAAGTTCCTTGTGAATCAAAGGAAAGGATGTGATATATGGATAAACTTTTAAAGAGATGGGAAGAGTCCCAAAAAAGCTCAGAAGTCCTCTGGAAGCATGGTCTTGATCATGAATTTCATGAGGCCTTGTTACCATGTTGGGTGAGCTATAATTTGGGAAGATATCGGTATAGAGTTTCCCATAGCTTTATCCACAGAGCAACACCCCAGGACCTGATGCACTTGCCTCATACTCTTTGTGCCTAAAGATGAGGCACCCCACGAGGACCTTGTCTCATGTTCCTTCCTTGTTTGAAGCACTGCAGTGTTCATTCCTAATGAAATTATTACCATGCTGGATTTACCTCCATTCTCCCCACATAGTCTTCAGGACACAGCAGTGCTGTTTCTGTGCTCTGGGTCTGTAAAGATCTTTTCCACATAAGCTTTGGGACAAGTATGTAAAACAGCACGGTTCTTCCATGTCTTTTTTGAGCCAGATCCTGCGGACTTTGTGAGAGTTGGGCTGAGAGCCCTGAGCCCTTGCAGACGTCTGGGCACTGAATTTGCCCAGGTGGTCATCTCTCCTCAGGCCTGTGTTCTTTTTCTCTGTCCTCCAGAATGATGTTTATGAATGGGCCCGAGACCATCGTGCCCATCACAAGTTCTCAGAAACTCATGCTGACCCTCACAATTCCCGACGTGGCTTTTTCTTCTCTCATGTGGGTTGGCTCCTTGTGCGCAAACACCCAGCCGTCAAAGAGAAGGGTGGTTTGCTGGACATGTCTGATCTAAAAGCTGAGAAACTGCTGATGTTCCAGAGGAGGTGAGTGAAGGCAGGTTTTAGACGGGGAGGTGGCCCCGTGTACTTGGGGTTAACAGACTCAGTCTTTTTTCCTATGATTTGTAAAATAAAAGCTGAAGGTTTATAGGGTTGTATGTTCAAATCATCTTTCAAAATTCCAATTTTAATATTTCTTAGATCCACAGACATAAACTAACATTCTCTGTGACTTAGTTTAGTGAAACCAGTTACTTGCAAATGAATGTTTATTCCCTTTGAACAATCAGGTACCCTAAGATGAATGCAGTTCAGTGTTACCTTCAAGGATTATGAAGCCTATTGGGAGTGGAAAGATAAGCCAAGGGCCCAAATAGTTATACAAGGCAGAATATTTTGTAGCTGACAGGTATAAGGAGGAGGGAGCTTGCTTGGTGGGAACTCTAGGGAAGGATTATAAATAATCTACTCAGTGATGGATTGTTACCATTTTGCTGAGCAGGATACTGAAAACAGAAAGAAAAAAAATATGAGCTAAAGCCTGAAGTAGGTTCAGAAACATAGCCTTTCTTTTGAAGTATAGGGGTGATAGGAAAAAGGACTGTTACAGTGATTGAAGGGGTCATGGAAAGTCCTGGTCACAGACTACCATATGATTTCTTTGGTTACAGGTAGCCACTAAATATTTCTTCAGAAGTAGTGTGCACAGTTAAGGTGAGCTGTAGGACAGTAAAGGAACTAAGGAACCAGAGATGAGAGGCAGGATCACAAAGCAGGAGTTAATAAGGGCCTAGACTGGGGAAGCAGTGGCAGAAATTGGTCACGAGGAATGTGATGGAGAAGCCATGACTCCTGAAGGAAGCCAAGCAGGCCTGGGAATGTCAATGGCATGGGCTGACAGCTGCAGGTGACTGAGAACATTCAGTGTACCTCCTGGGGGAAAGCAAAGCAAAGGATTAGGTGGTGGTAGCAGGAAACACAGGCATGACATTTAACAATCCTTCAGCTCACAGTCATGAGAGGTAAGTTAAAAGAACCAAAAGGCAGATACACAACAGCAGCTGGGTGCGGAATTCTGCTGATGAATTTGTGATTGACCCTTGGTGTTTAACTTTCCTGGCCTTCTAGTATCATGAAAAGGAATGCTGAATTTCAAGTCAGTAGACAGTTATCCCAGTGCTTGCTTCACTAGTTCCTGGTGGGGCAATCCTTAAACGTTATTTAACATGCCCACACTTCCTCATGTGCAGAGTGAGATAAAAGCACTATGCTCAAAAGATTTCTGCCCCATTCTTTGATGCTGGTTTCTGTCCCCTAGGCTCATAGTGTAGGAGGAACGACACAGTCCTGTTTTTCATTCTCACATTCAGTGAGAATGGAAAATCCAGGTAGGTGTGACAAGCCTTTTTTGACACTCAATATGTGATTTCTCAATGTAGGTATTACATACCCGGTCTTCTGTTGCTGTGTTTCATCTTTCCCACACTGGTGCCCTGGTATTGTTGGGGTGAAACTTTTCTAAACAGCTTGTGTGTCGCCACCTTCCTGAGATACGCCTTGGTGCTCAACGCCACCTGGCTGGTGAACAGTGCTGCCCACCTGTATGGATATCGCCCCTATGACAAGAATATTAACTCTCGGGAGAACATCTTGGTTTCGTTAGGAGCTGTGGGTAAGTCAATTGTCCACAGGGAGATCACATCTAATGTCTGCTGATTACAGTATTTCTCTATAAGCCATACCCAGAACAACCTATTTTTATGACCAATCTGTAGCTCAGTTTTTCAATGTATAACTAGGGGGCAATATATTGAGAAGCCCTTGAGAGCAGATACCAACAGTTATTTGAAATGGAAAGGGTAAAAAATAATATGGCTTTTGATATTAAGTTGTAAACAACATCTCTTAGTGCTTACCTATATTATGCCCTTTTGAATTTACCTTTTCCTAGTTATCTCTGACAGGTTGGTAGTCTACTTGAGGCAAGGAATGTATAAATTAAAAAAGTAGAGTCATCTATATAGCTGGTAAGCCTGTTTTATAATTAAACTTGATGTGTAAAATGGAGAAGAAATACACATTAATTTAAAAAAATTGGACATGCCCTACTTTATTTGAGTACAGTACTGGCAATTCAACCTAGAACATTCATTCTGAGCTACAATTACAGTCTTTATACAATTTTTTTTTTTTCTTTTTGTTTTAAATTTTGAGGCAGAGTGTTGCTAAGTTGCCCAGGGTAGGTGTGAGCTTGTGATCTTATTGACTCAGCCTACCAGAGTGCTGGGATTATAGGCATTCACCACCATACCCAGATCATGCCATACAATATTCTGCTTACTGATCTGATACTGACTATTGTTGAATTTTATTTTCTCTATAATTTCGGTCCCAAATGCCAGATCAAAGAAAACAAGGTTTTACCATCTATATTGACTTTTCTCTCCTTTCAGATGAATATAGTCTTTGACTAAGGCCTCAAGTTAGCTTTGTCTATACAGACCCAGGGGACTTTTTAATTGTTATTCACCCAGTAAGACTTAGCCAACCATACTGCTCACAGATTTATTCACATCATTGCTTAATAGTCATTAACCTGGTATTATCGTTATTTTTCCTATTTCTTTCATATTCCATATACCTCCCTCCTCCCTTTGGGCATCTCATACATTGTGCTTGTTCATGGTGTGAAATAAACTACTTACACTATACAAATATGAGACTTTCATAGAAATGAAATAATCTAGGTTGAGGTGTGTGTGCGCTGTAAACAGAACTGTACTGAGCTGATGGCCTCCTGTTTTGTTCCTACCATCATTCACTTCTCCAGATCTGCTCTTTTTTCCTTCTTACCTCATTCTTTGGTCTCCTCCAGCTCTGTTTCCTCCCATTTTAATCTTTTTGCTTCTTGAATTATCTGACCACAGTTACAAACTCACTTGTCTCAGATACAGCTGACATTGCCCTAAGCCTTTTTTGGCCTAGCTCTTTCTACCCAAGTTGCTACTTGTGACTCTCCTCTTCCTTTGTCTTTAAACTTTAATACTCACACATATAATACAGGCTGGTGAACACTCAGAGCCTTACTGTAAATTCCTGCCTGTAAGCTAACGATCTTCTGTCATCACCTCAGCCTTGGCACGGTCCATGCGCCAACCTCTGCCCTACCCCTTTCATTTTTCACCGTAGACAAACCAGTGTCCAGTGGGATTTATAACTTGAGAACCCTTGGTTAGTCATTTCCTTGGCAGAACTTCGTTCCCTCACTTCTATTCATTTCATTTGTATTTTATCTGAAAGTTTCTTTGCTCATAATGTTTTTCACCCTGATCTGATGAGGGTCAGTGACTTCTGTATTGGAATAGATTCAGGATGAACAATCTTGCCAAGACTTGGCAAATGTTTACCTACTATGGAAATTGTCATGATCCAGAATTTAATTTTCCCCTCCAGCAAGGTGAAAGTCTCCCAGGAGTTCTCAGAATCTCTGCTGTTAGAGAGAATTTCTATTTTCAGAGTAGTTCTATTTTATTAGCACCTCTCTGACCTCAGGGTCAGTGCTTAGAAAATTAGAAGCCAGAGCATCTGCCTGTAAACCAGCAGTACCTGTGGAGATTCTGTCCCTTTCTGGGACTTTTTTCCTCTGATTTTTGCTTGAAGCCATCCATTCTCTTGAAATTTCCTACTCTTCCAGGGAGCACATATAGAGTGGGACAAGGTATGCTGCATGGTTCCCTTTATAGTAAGGGAAGCTGCATTTTTTCCTGCTCTTCCTACCCTACCCCAAAATGTCCTGGGTGACATCTATTTGCTTCAAGTAGAAAAGCTTGGTTTTATCTACTCAACACCAACAGGTTTCTATGAGGTCTGAGGTACTGTAACAGATAAGAGGCATGCAGAGGTGAAGAAGACTTTATTTATTTAGATACTGGGGATCGAACTCATGACCTTTTGCTTGTCAGGCAGGCACTTATATCACTGAGCTAAATCCCCGGCCCAAGAAGACTACATTTACACAGTCCTTTTATTTCTCTTTTTGTTTTTCTTCCAGGTGAAGGCTTCCACAACTACCACCACTCCTTCCCCTATGACTACTCTGCCAGTGAGTACCGCTGGCACATCAACTTTACCACTTTCTTCATTGATTGCATGGCTGCCCTTGGTCTGGCTTATGACCGGAAGAAAGTATCCAAGGCTGCTGTCTTGGCCAAGGTTAAAAGAACTGGAGACGGAAGCTACAAGAGTGGTTGAGTGTTGAATCATCTAGGTTCTTTCAAAAGCCAGCTGGGTACATGCTTAATGTTGTGTCAATTAACTACTGAGTAATGCTTTCTGGGTGGTATAGGTGATGACCTTAACCTACCAGTACAGTATTCTTGTAAAATGCACAAGTATTGAAAGATAATAACTCTGTACTACTTAGCTGATAGACTTTCCTTCTCTCTCTTCCACTCTAAATTTTTTTTTTTGCTTTGTTGCTTATTATCTTCCTTTTTACCCTCACTGCCTCCCATGCAAGCAGTTGGTTCACCCATAAATTGGTATCCACCTTCCAAAGCCTGCCAATCTTTCTAGAGTTTAAAAGTAAAGCTATTTAGTGTAGATGACTCTTTTTCTTTGATATATCCTGAACTTCAAGATAGTTGCTTCATGCTAGACATTCAATGAATCTGCTGCAGAGTTCCTATTTACTGTTATTATCCCATCCATTGCTAGATGAAACTGAGATTAACTGAAAATAATCTGTCTCTCAGGAGGGAGCTTATAAAATTGATAAAAATCATCATGTAAGATAGTTATGCGGGATAATAAGTAAGGTTGGGAGTTGAGTTGGGAAACTGGACAAAGGTAATTTGTTGCAGTCAGTCCATGTTGCTTATTTAGCAAGATATGGAGCTCCTCCTCACAACTTTCTTCCTTTCTTTTCTGACTGGATAGGGAATGGTTATGGAGCCTGGTGACCCTAGAATACAACAGCATAGCTCAGTGTCTTCATATAGGCCACTGGACAACAAAGGAGGATCATTTACTAAGTAGGGAAAGTGATTTCTACTGGGGAAAGCTGATGTTTTTCTTTAATAAAAAGTGAATTTCTTATTTCATGGAATAAGAAGTCTTCAATTTGGGTGTGTCTAGAATTGTTGTGTATAGAGCTCATAGTTTGAGGATTTTGTGAGTTGCTTATCCAATTCTGTCATACTTTTCCATGCAATTCACAGGATATTTAAAGTAATAGGATGGTTGTGGCATTTTCATACATTTAATCATGGAAAGATTTTAGGAGGTGAACTTGGAAGTTAAGAATACAGACATATATATCTTCATTGGAACACAAAACTATTTACGTTGCTGCCCTCTGAAAAAGAAAGGTTAAAGAAACATGAAGGGGAGGAAACATTCCTCTTTCCGGGTATCTGTTTCTCCTGGTAACTGGGCAGAAGATGGACAAGTTGAGGAGAATTATCTATAGCCAATCCCAAGGTAATTTTTCCAAAATGATTGCTCTGAGAATGTAGTGCCAAGGGGATTCAGAGGTTATTGAATAAGCTATTGGGTCTTCCAGGGAAATGAGTTAGCTATTAGATCTTTTCATTCCAATTTTTCCTTTTGTTGAGTAAAAATTATGCTTCTCCCTACAGCGGCTTGACCTTTTCCTCATTTTTTGCTTCGTCATATCCAGCTTACATGCAGGACTGCCTGAGTGATGGGGTAGGACTCTTAAACAACCCTGATTCTTGATTCCTGGCTCTATCCCATCTGTCCCTGATCTCTTTACTGGTTCTCTCTGTTCTCTGATGTTTTCTTTTTTCTCTAGATAGGCAACTTCCTCTGTGTATCCAGGGTAGTGAGGATTTGCTGTCCAGGCAGCTCCTTCTCCTACAGTCAAAATGCTAATTGCCTCTGAACTGCCAAGTCCTTTTAGCAATGGCCTGACTATCCCTTTGTGTGGTCTCCAGATCTGCATCTCCACACCTGGGGCCACTGTCACACTGATAACTCAAGAAGTTTTGCAAACCTGCTAGAGAAATCCTGAGCTCAAAGAGACTATCTTTCTTTCCAGTCATGGCCAAGCCAAATGCACGTAATTGTGCTAATGAATCAGCCACAGAAGAAAGCAAGGTTTGTTGTTAGTTTCTCTGTCTGGGTCAGAGCAGAGAACATGCTCAGAGCCCCTTTTGTGTTTAGTAAAGCTATTCAGGCAAATAAGTGTTCCCAGATGACAGTGCAATGATTTTAGGAGGATGATGAAGGGAAAGCCTAGTTAGTCCCTTATGAAGTACAAAAAGCAAGAGCAAGTTCTCAAGTGTCTCACATTAAAAAGAGTCCCCAAACCCAAACTAAGTGTGGTGACACATAATCCATGGTAGTCAGTAAGATAAAATAAAACTGAAAACTATAGAACGTTAGTAATTAATGTCTTAAAGATCATAGGCTTCTCTTGTCCCTTTAACTTGGGCATTAATGCAGAAGCCCATCTCTGCTGTATCAGGAGTAGCAATGCTCAGTACCAAATCCATGTTTACTGTTCTGTCCCAGTGGTTGGCAAACAGGCCCTTTCTTTATGTGTTAATTGAATAGTGGTTCTAGGGACCAGCCTGCATGAACACTGCCTTGTCTTTGAACTGTTCAGAAAAGAACATCTGTAGAAGATATTCAGAAAAGAAGATCACTGTAGATGACATCAGTCCAGGGTGCCGATCCCTTGGAAAGGCCTGTTACATAGTTTTAATTCTACAGGTCATCCACTACCTGCTTAATAATTCATGAAAAATAAATTCAACTTTCTGTTCTTACTGAATCCTACTCCATGGATCTGATCCATGCTATTTCCCTATAAAAAGCTCAGCATATACCTCAGACTGAGAGCCCTAGGGAATATGTTGTTTTGTACTTAAGGGCTTGTTAGATCTGTAAAAAACTGTGTTCAAGATTCTAAAGCTTAATTCAAGTGACATATTAATAAAAAACTCAGATCTGACCAAGAATGAGTTTCTAAAGGCCTTGTTTTGTGGGCTGCTAACAATTTATTTGAGTGCCTTACCTCTTAATCTAATCTGTGTTGACTGTGAGTCTTCCTTCACTGCCTCTGTGAAGTCCCTTAACACCTTTGAACCTCTGGCAGTGGCAGGTATAAAAAGTGGCCTGGCTTGAGAATGACGAGTACTTCAATTTGCAGGATTCAGTTATGGGCTTAATGTTGGAAACTTTTCTTAGGGCTGTTTTTATTAAGTGCTCACATTTGAAGGAGGGTGGAGATAACTTGAACGTATTTGACTTATAATATTTTTTGGATTAAAAGATGATTGTAACATTTAAAATGGAAGTGTTCCTCCAAGGTTAGCTATTATCTTGCATATTTTCTTTGGATAGCTGAAGTAGATCAATATGACAAGTTAAGAAAAGTACAGTTGCTTTGGTGAAAGCTAGGGCCATCTACCACTATGCAGCTGGCTTCCTATGTAACTCTCATTTTATAACAGACCCATTCTAACAATAGTGAATCCACTCTCAAGATGACATTAGTTAATGATGGTAGAGCCCTGCTGACCTAATCACCTCTTAATAGTCCCAACTCTCAATAATTCTGCATTGGAGATATGGGACACATTCAAACCATAGCACTGGAGACATCAATTATAATGTGCCTCATTATTCCTTCTGTTTAAATGAGGTAACAGTGCTGACCTACCTCAATGGGCAGGTTTCAGGTGGGACTAATGCTTTTAATAAAGTCTTTTAAAATACTCACCAGGGGAATTTCAAGTCCTATGTATTTTTATTACAGCAGTGTCCACTATGGACTTAGCATGTACCTAAGTGCTGAATGGCATAACTATTGTATACTCTTGAGATTAATCAATGCATTTGATGAGTGTTGGATAACTATAGCCAGACAAAATTTGAGAATGCATATTGTTGCTACGAAAACATGCAGGATACCTTTTCCTTCCTTGGGTGGCATTTTTCCTTTTTATGACATATTACTTATTTGTAATCTGAGAATAATTTTGTAATAATTTCTGTTAATAATCAATTCTGAAGCTATTTCTACTGACTTGCGATGTGCTTGTTCATAATAAAAGTTAATAATCTGATTTTATTCTGTCTGGAAGCTTTTTGGTTGTGATATTGCAGTCTCCAGGGGACTGCCTCTGACCCTACAACATATCCATAGGTAAAAAATGTAGACCATACAGGACTGAATCATTCCCCAGTTAAGCTCCAGAAAGCAGCAAGCTAAAGATCTGCCTTTAAATCACTCATTACCATAAACTGGCACCTTAGCCTGCAGAAAAGAGAGGTCTCCCCATGTGTTATGTAGCCACATGGGCTCAAGTTTGAAGAACCTGCGAGACCAGGAAACCCAGTAAACCATCCCTCCCCAGCTCCCCAATCTCTGGGGTAAAGGAGGGGAGGTGCTGCACCTCCAGCAGGGTAACAAGACTTCTCAGGGCAAACCAACACTCTTGCCTTATCTATCAATAGGACCCTGTGAACAGGGGCAGGGAGACAGGCTACGGCCTCTCCAGCATCACTGTTACAGCCACCACTGCCATTTAGGTGCTCTCATAAACTACCGCTCTAGCGGCCTTCACCACCTCCATCCTCTCCCTGAGCCCTCATCAAACCCTTACAGAGCAAAGCTGCAAGGCAGCAAGAAGCTGCTCTGCAAAGGCGCTGGCGGCCTGGCTCACTCAGCGCTGGGCGGCGGGGAAGCACCCACAGCAGCTGAGTCGCTGGCAGCCAGGCCTTCTGCCCTCCGGCCCCGCCATTTTCCCCTCCAGCCCCGCCCTTCTTCCCTCCTGCCCTGCCCCTCTGCCTGTGTCCCAGGCGGGGCGCGGCCGGCTCGCGAGCGCAGGGCGTGGTCTGGCTTCCTCTGCGCTCCCCGGGGTTACTGCGGTGCCCAGAGCGCCTCGAGGTTATTCGCGTTCACTCACCCCACGGCGTCTGACCCGGCGCAGCCAATCAGCAGCGAGCGGAGGCCCGACTCCTGCGGCGCTCTGGGTCTTCGGGGCGGGAGCCGCGCTTTGGTTTCCAGGGTGGGCCGGGCGCTGCTCTGGGCTTTTCCCGCCTCACCTCGGAGCGCGGAAGTGCGCCCAGGCCCCTTCCCTGAGTACAGAGTCCGCAGTCCCACGCGCTCTGGCCAGGGAGCTCGGGTGGGTGGGCAGGGCCGTCCTTCCCAGTAGAGGCTCCTCGGCGGAAGGGGACGCGGAACGCGGGAGCCGTGGCCTGCTAGCGCTCCCGCTGGGGGCCCCGCGGTGTGTGCTCCGGGTCCCGGTGGTGGTCTAGGTGGGTGGTTAACAGAGCAGGCCGGGAAGCAGGACGCAATTTTATTCTTGGCGTCACGTAGGCGCCAGAGCGCCAGGAGTCAGCCAAACAGGCTTTGATTAGGTGGTGGTGAGCAGAGGCTGTGGGCAGGCGCACACTCTGGCCGAGTTAAAATTCTAGGCTGGTGTCACTGTGCCTGTAGGGGTGTCCAGTGCAGTGGGAAGCCAAAGGGGAAAGAGGCTGTGAGTGCTGGTAGTAGCCAGCGGATTGCTTCCTACCTGATGAGGAGTCATCAGATTTGTGCAGGCAGTAGAGGAAAATTCCTTGTTTCCAAAAGTTGCACTAGTGGCAAGAGCAACAGAAGGGAGCGGACTAGGGCTGGAAAGTAAGATTGAGGCTTTAGTGCAACCAAGTTGTGGCACCCTGGGACCTCCAGATATGAGCTGGTAGTGCCAGAAATGAAAAGGAAAGTAAAGGGGTTTTGAAGCGAAATCAGTAACACTGAATTGATTGGATCTGGGAAAGGAGAGAGGAGAATATTCCGAGATGACTGCTATTCCAGGAGAGAAGCTGTTCCACAAATTGAAATGTGTAGGTTTACAAAAGCACTATTGTACAGGGGATAGTTCTGTTTAAAAAAATCAATTGTAAAAAACGTTTTTCAAATCCTTTTTTGCGTGAAATACAGGAAACAGCGACAGTCAACACACAGGTCACCTCACAAAAGGTCGAAAAACTCCACATGTTTATTTTGTCCACAGTAACTGCCTCTACTTTCCCCTTATGGAATTCAAAAAAATTCCACATTCCCACTGCCACTTTTGGACTCAATTACAGTACAATGAGAGGGAGAGGCTTGGTTACAACAATCCTGTCAGCAGTTTGCTTCCTCTCCTTTTGTTTCTACCCAATAATTTGAAGCTATGAGAAATCACACTATAAAATTTGGGAGATTTGATAAGTGATCCCAACACTTCCTGACCATACATCATAAGCTGCAAATGACGATTGCTACACAGTACTTTGAAATTCTTGAAAGTTACTTGCCAGCTTCTTCACCTCCACACTGAACTACAGTATTCCAGAAATGGTTATTGTGCACTGCTGCAGTAGCACACACCTGTGTCTTACTTGTGATGGGAGTCTTCAAATCTGTAGGAATACAGTCCACAGGAAAGTGAAGATGGGTTGTCTGTGAACACCACACTGCCTTACCTTTGGCTTTCCAACTTTGCCTCTCTCTATGTGTTGCAAGCTTGGCCGCAGCACCCTTATTACCACATTGCAGTGTTACTGCTGCTCTCAGCACCAAAGGCCACTGCCCCAGCCCTGCATTCCTCTAGCCTGCCTCTTGATGCCACTGTGAGAGTTTTTTGTTTTGTTTTTTCCCTTGTGGCACTGCGGATTGCCAGTGACTTTATACTGAATGACATCCCTAGCCCTTTCTTTATTTTTTGTATTTTGAGGCAGTCTCACTCAATTGACCAGCGTGGGGTCGAGCTTGTAAGCCTCCTGACACAGTGTTTGAGAGTGCTGTGATTACTAGTGTGTACCACCACATTTGCCTGTGTGTTCAGATTTTTAAATATTATTTTATGTTTGCCATATAGAATGATTACATTCACTGTGTTGGTACATGTCCATGACACATCTTAATTGTTTTAAGTTCTTCTCCTTCCCAGCCCCACGTCCATCTACTGTTCCCTTCCTATTTGCAAAAGGTCTGTCTCCCTGTTTCCTTTTATCTATCTGGCTTTTATTTTGCTTTTTTTTTATTTTGAACTTCTCATATAAGAGAAACCATATGCTATTTAAGCTTGCACGTCTGATTTGTTTCAGTTAATAGGTTTTAAGGCGCATCTGTTTTTCTACACACGATATATACTTAGCCTTTATAGGCGAGTACTACTGCATTGAATATTAAGTGCCTCATTTTATTTATTCATTCATCTGCAGACATGTAGTCTGCCTCCAATTTAGCTGTTATAAATTGTGCTGCCATAAATATAGGTATACATGTATCAGTGTAATATGTCTTTAGCACTTTTGGGAAGCTACCCTAGAAGGCCAGTAGCTGGGTCAAATGGGATTTATAATATTTTTAGTTTTTTGAACAACTCCATACTGATTTCCATAATGACTGTACTAGGTATACTTTCCTATCAAAAATGTAGAACGGTTCCTTTACCTCCACAGTCTCCCCAGCATTCATTATTATTTGATTTTTTTGAAAGGTTTGCATATTTATTTATAGTTATAATTTACACTTCTCCAACAGAGCAACCCCAATGCTAATGTTCTAATTCTCAGCCCAGAAGGCCTACAAAAATAAACCCAAGCTTTTACAGTAACTTAATCAGTACAGAACCAAAACGGCTTTTAGCTATTAAAGGAATTTAGTTACCAAGGTGCTTATTTTAAACAAAATGTCCTGTCAGAGGACGCATGCTTGTACTTGTACTTCGAAGTCTGACCTATTTACATACAACGAATTTATATTCCCCACCCTCCCTCCACTCACTTTAAAACAAAAACACAAGAACTATTTACAATCAAGAGGAAATAAGGTCAACTGACCTTGCTGCCACCCCAGCCCCCCTGCTCCCCCAGGCTAGCTCATTTCCAAGTGGATGAGAACACTGAAGCACTCTGGCAGAGTCCAGCTGAGTGACTTGGGCCAGAGGCTTGGCAGGGACAGGAGAGCAGGGGGCACAGCATGGGCTCACCCACAGCTTCAGTGCCTACAGGAGCCAGGCTCCACATAACACTTGGTAGCTACTGCTCAGGGGTCCCTTCCCCAGTGCACCCACCCTCTGCCAGCCCTCACCCTTATGTCCCTTACACAACATGATCCATGGGAACACCCTCCTTCCCTGCCCTCTGCCCACCCACCCACACACCCAGCTCATCCTGTGCTGCCCTTGCCTGGCTCCTGAGATCCCACTCTTGGTAATGAGGGTGCCAGGCCAGCAGCACCAGGGACCAGATGGGTTAGAGATGCACTTGGCTGCCACATGTGCCAATGAGATTTGGTTCTGTTTTAAAAGTCAAAGCTGTCATAGAAAAGAAACAGTCACAAAGTGAGGATCAAGCCTTTGCTATAAACATTTTTGCAAAATACCAAAACCTTACAGTTAGGCTATGCACAACCAAAAAGGAACATAGGTCAAGATACCTCAAAGAGGTTACCCATGAATACTTTCCCCAAAACAAGTGGTTCTAACTCAGACCATGTCCAAGTTCAATTAAGTCCAAACATAAGTAGCAATGTGGGAGTTTGCCCAACGCAGTAAACAATGCCACCCACTTCCAGTGCTTGCAGCGTTTCCTGTGTCCTCCTCTACGTAGCACCACCTGGACCACTTCAGCGGGAACTCAGAGGCTGCACCTTTACACACTGCCAGTCCCAGCTCTGTGCGAAGTCGGGTTGCGCCAAGCGGCTCCGTTGCCCCTGCCTCCTCGGAATCCACCGCGGGCAGTGCGGCCTCGAAGGAACCTCCCTGATACCCCGAAGGTCTCCGTATTCAGCTTCCTCTCTTCAGCCCATGTTGTCCGCCTAGAACTGGTCTTGAGTTCAGAAGAGATGTTGTCAAAGAACGACTTGGATTTGTCATAATAGCAGTTGGGGCCTAGGAGGTCTTCCTCAGCAGGAGCTTCATCACTCTGAGCGAGCACAGCCTGGTCCTTCTCTTCCCCTTTCTCAACCTTGTCCTCTTTAAAATTCAGTTTCTTCTTGAATTCTTTGTCAAGCTCCTCTCGGTTGAACTGGGCATTTGCACTCTCAAAATCAAAGTCTCCTTCAAACTTGATTGTGTTTTCCTTGACATTAGTAGGACGGTTCTGCCCTCTGGAACTATTCCTTGTTCGCCGGTTCCCTGTGAGGAGACGCAGCAGCCACCACTAATGTCAGCCATCAAACCTGTGTTCCAAGCCTGACTTCAAAAGCAGCTTACAGGCACCCCACAGGCAACATGGGGGCACAGCTCACAGATGCAGCACCTTAGTCCCGGCACCCTTACAAACTGAGCACAGCCTGCTGCTCGCCTGATTTTTTGATAATGACTTTCTTCATGGAGCTAAATGGAATTTCAGTGTTGTTTTAATTTGCATTTTTCTAATGGCCAGAGATGTACATTTCTGCATGTGCTTATCAGCCATTTGTACTTCTGATAAGTGTCTATTCATTTCAGTTGGCCTTTTTTTTGATTGGATCTTTTATTTTGGGGGTCTATTTTTTTTTTTTTTTTGTTGGTTGTACATTCTAGATATCCTCTGAGGTGAAACTGGCAAAATATTTTCCTGATTGTATAGGTTATCTCTTCTGTTGGTTGTTTCCTTTGCTATGCAGAAGTTTTAAAATTTGATGTAATTCTATTTGTTGAATCTTGATGTTATAGTTTGTGCATTGGGATTCTGCTCAGAAAGTCTTTGCCTATGTCTTTGTCTTTGGAGTTTTACCTATTTTATCTTCCAAAAAGTTAAGTGTTTCTGTTTTAATATTTAGGTCTTTGATGCATTTTGATTTTAGCTTAGTACATGGTAAGAAACATGGGTCTAGCTTCAGTTTTTTACATTTGTATAGCCAGTTTTCCTAACACCATTTACTAAAGAGGCTGGCTGTCTTTCCTCCAGTGTAACTTAGTTTTGGCCCCTTTGTTGTAGTGTCTGTTGTATCTGAGGTTGTCTCTGCATCTTTCATTCTATTCCATTTACAGGTTTGTTTTTATACCAGAAGTATGATATTTTACCACTATAACTTTGTAATATAATTTGGATTTAAGAATTGTGATGCCTTCTGCTTTGCTCTTGTTACCCAGCATTGCTTTTTTGGTTCTTGGTCTCTTCTGGCACCATGTGAACATTAGCAATGCTTCCACTAGTTCTGTGAGGAATGTCACTGGTATTTTGATATTTTGATAGGAATTACATTGAATTTATATATCAGTTTTGGAAGTATGGGCATTTTGAAAGTGTTGGTTCTACTTATCCAGGTACAGGTGACATCTTTCCATTTTCTGATGTCCTCTTCCACCTCCTGTATCAGAGTACTTTTGTCATTGACCTCTTTCAATTTCTTGGTTAGGTTAATTCCTAAGTTAATTTTCTTGATGCTGTTAGGAATGGTATAGTTTTCCTAATCTCTTTTCTGGTGAGTTCATTATTGGTATAGAATATTATTGAACATTATATATGGAATATTATTGATTTTTGTGAGTTGATTTTTTTATCTTGGTATATTACTAAGTTTTCTTATTAATTTTAGAAGTTTTTTGGTAGATACTTTTGGGCCCGCCATTTAAAGGATCATGTCTTTGCAAATGGTGACACTTTGACTTTTTTTTCCCTACATATATCCATTTTCTTTCTTTTTCTTGATTGCTCTGGTTAATATTTTGAGTACGGTAGTGAACAGGAATCATGATACAAACATCCTTGTTTTGTTTCTGATTTCAGAGGAAAGGTTTTCAGCTTTCTCCTATTTAATATGCTGTTGACTGATAGTGTGTCATCAATGGCTTTTAACAGTTTGAGATAAAGTTGTTCTGAATCTGTTTCCTTCAGATTTTAAAAGTCATGAATGGGTGTTGGTTTTTGTTAAAGGCATTTTCTGCATCTATTGAAATGATCATGTGAGTTTTTTTCCTTGCCTCTGTTTATATGGTATATTATATATATTGATTTACATATTTTATTTTTATTTGTTTTGAGATAGGACCTTACTATATAGTGTAGGCTGGCAATGAACTCACTTATATAGCGCTATGTAGTACAGGCTGACCTGAACTCACAGTGATCTTCTTACCTCAGTCTCCTGAGTGCTGGGATTACAGGCATTTACCACCACACCGGACTTGATTAAAAGTACATTAATAGGTAATTTATTTAAGTTTTCTCTGGTTTTCTAATGTGAGCAGTTTCAGCAGTAAACTTCCTTCTTAGACTGATTTCAGTATGTTCCATAGGTTCTGGCATATTGTTTCTCTGTATTGCTGTTTAATTCTAGGAATTTTACTTTGTTCATTATGTTGGTCTTCTTAGTATCATTTAATGTCTATTAGATAAATCTTTCTTGCTGTCTTATCATTTTTATGGGTTGTCTGAGTAAATCATATATTTCTATTGTGTCCTTGACTTCTGAAACCTTGTGAATTCAACAAAATTCTTTATTTCTGGGCATTATGTTTAGCATCTTTTTGTGAAGTCTGTATCTTTGGTAAATATGTTATTCATGTTTTGAGCCATTTTGGGCAGCTCTCCAATTTTTTATTTGATTCTCTCATAACCACATGTGTCAGTTTGTTGGATAGTTCTGCTGTTTCTTGAGTTATGTCCTTTTTGATCTTGCTGAGTTTCTTTGCTTCCCATTTAATTATTTTGTACAGCTCAGCTCTCTGTTGTTTACTTCAGTTCTGTTGTACCCTTTGGGAAAGTTGGGAGACTTTGGAGGTGTTTTGTTACCTTATTTTTTTCATGTTTCTTTTTTCTAACTGAAAGTTGAGGTCAAGTAGAGTGAAGAGAATATGTTTTTGATATACTTGTTTAGTTAGGTTATGTTTTCCAGTGATATGTTCTTGGCTTTATTTGTCAAGAGACTTTTCAATTTAATTGGGTTGGATTCTGTCACTGTGTTGCAAGGTGAGAATTTCTACTGGTTATAATAGTGTTAACTCATCTAATCATACATTAGCCATAAACATTAAAAATGGTTTGATAGTTTCACTCTTTTGTTAATACCCTATATAGACTATATTATTACTACTATTTGTAATTCATCTAGAATGTAAAGGGTAGAGAGAATGAGAAGGGAAGGGAAAAATGAAGAGGGGAATAGGCAAGAAGAAAGTAAAAGAAATGTCAGTAGGCAGATAATAGATAAGAAGCTGGACACTAGTGGGATTCTTTTTATATCTAGAGTAATGAGCTAGTATTGAGGGGGTTTGAGAGGGTGTTTGGGTAGATGAGGTATGCCAGTGAGTGAAGTGTGTTGAGGGGTTAAGGCTATAAGATTGTCAGAACTTGTTAATACACTTGTAGGTAGTTTTGTTTTGATCCTCTAAGCCCAATTTTGTTAAGGATTATCCTAACACATCCTTGAGTGGTACTGGATAATTTATAACACTACTTTATTCCTTTTCTCTAATGTACTTACTCAGGCCTGTCTGAATATTTATGTCATTAAACAGGTGGACAGGAGTAGAGGGAAGGCAAGGAGGCAAAACAATAAAGAAGAGAAGGGAAAAAATAGGTAGGAAAGAGTTAAAAAATTGAAAAGAAACACTAAAAGGGGGAGCAAGTCAAAAGGAGAAAACTGAAGAATAAGGTATAATAACCAAACGTAACAATAAAGAAGCAAGAACTAGAAGAAAAGAAAAAAAGGATAAAAAAGAAACAAAAATTTAAAAAAACTTCAAGATGATCCAAGTCAAAGAAACAAGGAAATAATAACAACATAATCAAAATAAAAAATAGAAATAGAAATAAAAACCTTCACGCAGCTGTTACAGAATTAACTTGGAGCGTTCACACAGCTCCCTCTGCCTTGGAGCCATAGTGTAATTTTGAGCAGCCAGGCGGTGAGGGCTGGTGCTCCCTCTGAATGTGCTCTTGTTGCGAGCTGTGCTCTATACATCACTTGCCACAGGCCTCCATGGTTATAATTGCCTTACTTGATATTTTTAAGGGGTAAATATCACAGGCATGTCTGCTGGGAATCTTGTGTCACTTGCTCAATGTTCCATCAACAGTACTCTTATTTTATGTAGGGAAATGGGTGACTCTTCTTTTTTTCTGTGTTATGTCTTACAATTCAAACTTTTATGTAAAAAAACTACACTGAGAGAGAAAGACCGCCACCTAGGGGACAATAGCAAAGGTGTCTTTTCTCTTCCTACATCTTCACCACTTATCAGTGCTGGAGCATATTATTTACAAGTCATGGGTGCATTTTGCTTTGACTTCTCTGGTTGTGTCTCACTCACTATGCCCAGTAGGGAGGTTATAGTGGTTGTGAATCTTTTCCATCAGTCAGGCTATCACTGAAAGGCCAGCTCCTTCCCTCAGTCTGGTCCACACCCAAGTTGCTATGTCAAATAGTTTGGTCTGGGGTGAGGAATAGAACACCATGATCCAGGGGTGGTTTGGTTTCTCCTTGCACTCCTCTGATACACTTGATTTTAGTCTAGCTAGATTCTTTTCATTTATGCTTCTATATCAAACTTTATCTTTTACCCCTGTCTCAGGGGTACTTATCTCCAGTACCAATTGAGACACTTTTGCTATTGTCTCCTAGGTAGTGGTCTTTTTCTATCCATGTAGTTATTTAATTTTAATTTTAATTGTATTTTAAAGAGCAAGGCACAACAAAACCAATTAAGACAATGCAGTGAAATTGGTACAGAACTTCACAGGATAACAGTAATAGGTACCATAGTGTATTTTGTTATCTTCACAATAGTTGCCCAGTCAATTAGCTATTGTGAAATCAGACCCAAAACAGAACATTATAAAACCAATCAAGAGAGAATATTGCATAGAGCAAAACAATCATAACAAAACAGTGAAACAACATTTGCCTTCAAACAGAAGACAGAAGGAACTCTCCTCTATTTGCTATATTGCACATGGTCATTCTCCCATGAGATGCTCAGACCTCTGCCCCCAGTTGCTAAAGGTAGGGGAGAGTTAAGATGTTTGATTCTCAGCCCGTGCGTCAGTAGACTCACAGGAGATGCTGGCTGGTTTTGTTTGTGGCTCCCTCCAGGGCGCTTACCAAGAGGGCAGGCGAATTGCTTTGTTGGTCAACTGCCTAAGTTCCACGATGCACTGTGTATTTTTTATGTAAAAGTTTGAATTGTAAGAAGTAGATGAACATATAAATATTACATAGAGATAAGGAGTCA